TACGTCATCATTTTGCATTCTTTTTCCTGATTACATTGATGTATCACAACCTATATTTTTTTAATATATTTATTGCTGTGTGCATTAATCCGGCCAAAAAGAACCATAAACAACAAAATAATTGCAATGCCCCCCGTTGGGCGAGCAAATAAAAATGCTGTGATCCTTGAACTGGGGACCAATTAAAACACTTCACAATCCTAAGTAGCTCTTTATTAAACATTTCTCTCTGTACACATCCGCAGTACGGCACCGAAATATAATTCAATTCTGACTTTAAATAATAATAATAATAATAATAATAATAATAGCCTTTATTCCCCATAGGTCTCATATCAAAATTTCACATATCAAAATATAAAAAACGATTATAGTTATTCATAACAATAAAGAAAAACTTCTAAATTAATGATCAAATGGCAAGATAAGAACTAGAAAAGGAAAAGAAGAAGAAGAAATTTAGTATTACGTATTTATGAGGAATCACACGGTGCCAATTCAAATTAGTAGTTAAACTACCATTGGTCTTCTTGCTGATTACAAACAAACAATGGCCAAGATCAAATCGTTAAATTCGAAACGGGCCGTTACGAAATTTTGAAAAACATTTAAAATGAACTTTGAGCTCGAATCGCAAAAATTAATCGTAATTGAGCATGAGACTTCTCTCATGAACACACGACTTACATAATTTTACATAAATAAAATTTATTCCACAATCACCCATGAAATTAAACAATAAAATGTTATCTAACAACAATTGGACTACAACGTCCGAATAAACAAATCGCGCGTTTGCATTAAATTACAATACAATAAACAACTACCAAGAAATTTTAAAATAAATAAATAAACAATAAATTGCTTAGTTTTCGACCACCTAACAACACGTGACACTATTTTTACGTCATATTCCCCAACAGCTTTAACGACATTCATTGTTGCATCTGGTTTACGCAAAAATACGCCACCGAAAACTCGAAACGGCCGCCCGTGTTCCGTGTACGAATACTAAAACATAGACGCGCGTGTCTCCTTCAATTTCACAAACAAAATCAAACTCGGCCTCGAACTTGGCAATACACGTCGAACTTGTTGAAAACTTTCTTCTAAAACCACCGCGACTCGGCCTTACAAAAAGTTCGCAAAACTCGAACTTTTGCAAACGGCCCCTTCAACAGACCGCAACTCGGCCTCGAAACCGGCAAAGGCCCCTTCTTCTTCTATTCTTTCTTATTTCTCCCCTGAATACTGAACGTTATCATGTAACCATCTCACGAAGCAAAGCACATATAAAATATATCGCGACTTTAAACATTTTAAATATGATGAATTCGTTGCAGAATTACAGGTCTTGCCTTGGTATCGTTTGTTCAATTTAAGAAATGTGGAATGTAAAGTACGTTTTTTAAACGATAACCTTTTATATCTATTTAATAAATATGCTCCTATTAAGAAAGTCCGACTTACTAGACCAAAAACACCTTGGCTGACAGACTTTATAAAAGCCCTTATGCATTCAAAAGATAAAAGTCTGTCGAAGTTCAAAAATGAAAAAAATACTAGCTCTTGGAATGAATACAAGCGACTTCGTAACTTATGCACTAATGCTGTTAGACAATCTAAGCGTCACTATTTCCACACGTTTGCGACCGGGCAAAATAAAAACGATTTATGGAAGGTACTGAGAGACATGAACATTTTCCCAAACAAAACAAATTATTTGCCTTCTGACTTTAATGACCCTGATCTTATTAATGACCATTTTTGTGACTCTATTACCGCTCATAAAATTTCACCTGATCCAGAATTGTTAAATTTTTATAATACAAATTGTAAACTCAAGGACTTAAATCCTTTTAGCTTCACTCTCATTAGTGAATCGGATATTGCTATGATACTCTCAAAAATTACGACAAACTCTGTAGGCGCTGACGGGGTGAGTAATTCAATGATTACTGTTTGTCTGCCCTTTTTGTCGCCTTATCTACTGCATGTGGTTAATTGCTGCCTTGAGACAAACTATTTCCCTAATGCTTGGAAAGTAGCACACATTCCTTTACCTAAAAGTAAAAATGTTCGCACATTACAAGATCTCAGACCTATAAGCATTCTACCAGTGTTATCCAAATTGCTAGAAAGAGCAATGGAAATACAAATTAGGATGAAAAAACGACATTTTACCGCTTATGCAGTCGGGCTTTAGGACTGGATATAGTTGTTCTACAGCTTTATCATGCATTGTGGACGATATCATTACAGCAACCGATAACAACATGCTCACTGTTAATGTTGTGGTAGATTATTCTAAGGCATTTGACATGTTGGACCACGAATTGCTAATTTCAATCTTACATTTTTTTGGTTTTAGTAAAGACGCGTTAGAATTAGTAACTAGCTTTTTAACAGATAGAACTCAAAGAGTAAAAATTCAAGACTCACTGTCGTCAGAACGGAACATTCATTCGGGAGTTCCACAGGGCTCCATACTCGGCCCTTTATTTTACACTATGTACACTGCTAACTTACCAAATTGCATAAATACATGCAAACATCACCTATATGCAGATGATACACAAATTATATCTCTCATTTCCACCTTCTGACGTAGATCTTGCTTTAAATAAACTTACCAGAGATTTAAATAACTTATTTGAAACATCCACAAAATACTCCCTGATTATTAATCCGTCTAAATCTGTAGCGCTGGTGTTCGGAAAGGCTCACCACCGAAACAATGTTCAGCAGCAGATTTATCTAAATGTTGGCAATCACGCCATTCCAATAAAAACGGAACACAAGAACTTAGGACTAATCATGGATAGCGATCTTCGTTTTAAAAGTCATATAAACCTATGCATTCAGCGCGCTTTCAGCAGTTTAAAATCTTTGTATATCCACAGATACAACTTTAACTTTGATACCAAAGTAAAACTAATGAATGTGCTAGTTCTATCTCATTTTAATTATGCAGATTGTGTGTATGGACCTTGCTTGGATGGAACCAGCAGGAAAAGACTACAACGAGTGCAAAATTCTTGTCTACGGTTCATTTTCGGCTTGAGAAAATTTGATCATGTCTCCCATAAGATGTCTGAAATAAAGTGGTTGAATATGGAAAATCGCCGTTCCCTTCACTTTTTATATATGTGTCATCAAATCGTTTTAACTCATAAACCACAGTATCTTTATAACAAAAATACTTTCCGTACAGACGTACACCATCTCAATTTACGTAACAAAGGACTTATGACTATTCCAGCTCATAGGTCTTTTCGAAGGGCGTTTTTCTTATCAAATTGGAAAACAATACAACTCGTTGCCAGCTTTTATCAAAAATCTTTCCTTAAAGCCTTTTAAAACACAAACGCGACTTTTACTTTATAGAAGTCAAATCCAATGTTAACCAGTTCTTTGAACACTTTAAGTTTTTTTTATTGTGTTTTTTCTACATTTTTTTAACAAACGCATGTATACCGTTTTATTTAAGAGAAACATCACTCATTTCGCCATAAAAAAATGAAGTGTATGTATATTGGGGTAAAGTGGAAGAGCAGACCAATTAGTCTGAACTTCACCCGTTCACTATTATATATTTGATATATCGTTATGCCTTATTTTTCATTTTTGTGTTGTTACTTTTGTATATAATATGTGAATAAAGATCATTAATTAATTAAAAAAAAATTAATTAACGATCATTCGCTTTTTAAACCATTCTAAGAGACACCTTTCGATTTTTCACATTCACGTGAGACACTTTCTACGGACAGGAGCTTTTTCCCGTTGGGCAACTGATGCTCATTTTTCAGAAAATTTTATTCAAACTGTTTTTCTAAGCTCAGTCAACCGACCGCTAATCTACCTAAACGTCTTTACCAACTCCCGGTCGCTATTCTAATCTGGTTTTCAGGCTTTGTACAAAATAATCTCCTCTCTGAACACTAAGGAATTTTGCAACGCCTACTCAACGCTCGAATATTAATTGGCGGTGGTATTTTATTAATTTTCATTGTTTCATACCACCTTGCAGGATTGTATACTGACTTTCGGCTTCTGCGGTGTCAGTTTATTTTGAGCAAGCTGTCCTTAGTTTGCAGAGTTACAGAAATAACTTAACACGACCTATTTCCAACGTGTAATTCAAAACCAACAACGAGGCGACAAATACTCTTTAGAACAAATAATTCATTGACAAACGTGTGAGAAGATTACGGAAGCTTGCTGCTATTACAATCGACCAAAAAGAAAAAGTTGAATTTGTTATAGGTACTGGTTTGGTGCAATACGTTCTTGACTTTTTTTAAACGTTGAAATTGTTCTTCCGCATAATGAAACGGGAAAATCCCCAAAATACACAATTTCCTTATGCACAAAAACCCGTAGATTTTTTGTTTTCTTCAATATCATATCCTTCAACCTTTTTCAATTCTCGTTTACTTCGGAGTTTTCCGATTCTCAACTGTTCAGATGTTTAAAATTCGGTGTACAGTTTCTTTCAATTCTTTTGATTTTTAAAATTTTTTATGTTGATATGATGCTCTGCATTTCTCGGATTATCTAAATCTTAAGTCTTTAAAATCTGATTTTTCGGTTCTTTGAATGCTTCGTAGTTTTCAGGATATCCCGGACAACGGACGTTTTCGGAATGTTTTACAAAATTGGAAAATATCCCAGACAATTACTTCAACGACACTAAATGTTCCTCTAATGTAGAAATCGCAGAAAGTTTCGGTTTGTTTTCGTTCGTTTCGTTCGTATCACGCTACATTATTATATAAGAACATCGGGACATTTAAATACAAATACTGAACAGTTTCCAGACTGTGATTGTTACCTTGTAAATTTGAGTAAACACTGTTATCTGATTATTCTAATTATGATAGTTTGACCGCTTTGGTATATGCACTGTAAAAAAACGAACGATCAGTTAAAGACTAATGTGCATGTGAATTTACGTCACTTCCTTATTTCCATATTTTTTCGTTTTTAACAAAGCTCGTAAATTTGAATAAATGCTTAAATCCGATTATGTAAGGACTGCAGGTAAGTGCTTGTAAAGTGATCCTGGTTGCACGAATATCATAATTCAGTTACTACTTTCAAAGCAAGGCCCGGTTGAAAGAGGTACACGATCGCGTAACGGACGTTGCGATGAACTAGTAGATATCCGTAAAAGGTTTTCATTTGCTGGCTTTTTGATAACCCCAAAGTGTATGACGTTACGGTAACGGCTACAAGCTGGGCTACAGGTCATAAGTGTATATTACTCTATTAAATTTAAGTCAGTAGAACCTAGTCTATATTGTTAGCAGAAATCCGAAAAATGGCATCACGATATCGACCACTTTCAGAGCAACTTAAAAAATTTGCTCAAGAAGAACTAAATGAAGTTGAAGATCGGGTGGATGACGATGTCAGACACATTAAAGATTGGTTTGTAAAGCAAGCCCACTTGAACTTTCAATTAGGTAAGTGTTGAGTGGGTAAACATTTTATAGAGTTGACTTCTTGTAGAGGATCAGTTAGTGTTATCCTTTCTTCGCTGCACCAAGTTCCGATTAGAAAAAGCCAAAGAAAAAATTAATGGTTACTTTACTATGAGAAGTTTAATACCCGCATTGTTTAGTACCCGAGATCCATTTTTACCGGAATTACAACGTCTTCTTAACGCCGGGTACAGTAAAAATGAAATCAACGGATCCTATGAATACATGCGTCTAACATCAAGTTACTTTTAGAATAATGGTTCCGTTACCAAAAGTAGATGAACGTGGATCTAGAATACTACTAAGCACTTCTGGAAAAAATCTCAATCCAGACACAATGAGCTTACAGAGTTTTGCAAAAATATGTTACATGATCGCAGATATACTACTCAGAGAAGACGACCAAGCAATCGTCAATGGTTTGACTATTGTTATTGCGTGCAAAGGTGCACAACACAAATATGTACCTCAGCTAACACCCACATTTATCAAAGAACAAGCATACGTTGTGCTTAACGCCCCTTTCAGAATCTCCGGCATGTATATTGTAGATTGTCACCCAATCTTTCACTATGCATATAACATCACAAGTTTTCTCCTCCCACAGAAGATAAAGAAAAGAGTATGTACTCCTTTCCTATCATGTGCATTCATTTCTTCTTTAAGGTGGTAATATTTACTGAGGCTAACTCACACGAGGTATATACTAACATTCCTAGAGATCTGTTCCCAGAGGAACTAGGTGGCAGTAACGGTTCCCTAAAAGAGTTGACTGGTAAGGTCCCAATTTTTGTGTGTATCTTATTTCTAGCATTGGTACTAATTTTAGTTGAGTGGAAGAAGAAGGTGGAAAGTTACAGAGAATGGTTTCTTCAGGACGAAAAGTTAAGAAGCAACGAAGACCTGCGCCAAGGAAAACCTAAGGCGTCTTCCGACTTTTTTGGCAC